CTCCCAAAGTGCTGGGATTACAGGCTTGAGCCACCGCGCCCGGCCCAATAATAATTTCTTCATTATATCCCACCATGTAGTAAGAACCTGCTTTGGGCAAGTTTGCCCCTGTGGGAACTAAAAAGATGTAGCTCTGCTCCTTAAATGTGTGTTTTTCTGAGACAGAGTCTCACCCTGATGCCCAGGCTGGAGGGCAATGGCTCGATCTCCACTCACTGCAACCTCCGTCCCCCAGGTTCCAGCAATTCTCCTGCCTCAGCCTCCTGAGTAGCTGGGATTACAGGTGTGTGCCATCACACCCAGTTACTTTTCTGTATCTGCAGTAGTGACGAGGTTTCACTATGTTGGCCAGGCTGGTCTCGAACTCCTGACCTCATGATCTGTCCACCTTGACTTCCCAAAGTGCTGGGATTACAGACATGAGCCACCACGCCCGGCCTGACCTTTGTACTTTTGTTGATGACTATAATTTCAAGACTTCAAAAAGCAAGGTCTAGCAGAACTGGAACTAAGTGTTTCAGGGAAATGACACTTAAGAATGTCTGCCAAGGTGATGAAAGGTCCCACCACGCTCTGATCCACAATGCTAATGGGCCGCTTTAATGGAGCGCTCAGTGGCTGTTAATGAAGGTTACAAACAGGCTGTTTTGAAAGCCCTCACAATAAAGATGGACAAAAGATTTCCCAGGGGAAGTACTGGGAAAATTTCTTTTCCTGCTAGATGAAATCAATGAGCCCACATTATTGAAAATCCAGGAAGAACCAGGGCCTGGGGTGTGGGAAGCTAAAAAGCACAGCAAATGGGTTGTGTGGCTGGCAGAGCTGGATTTGAGACACGTGCCCCAGTGCAGACAGGAGCTGCACAGCATACCTGTGAAAATGTGTGGCTCTTGCACTGAGGATGTTTTCCTGCTGGTGTCTTCGCCAGAGTCTATTCCATGTGTGGAAGGCAGCAGGCAGGGCTCTCTGCTGGAAATGCCCATCTGCTCTGGCCTGTAGCAGCTAAAGTAAAACAATTAAATGACCTTTGTAACCTTTGTATTTAACTTTTTTTTTTTTTAAACATGACCTTTCAGAGTCACACTGTTGTGGAAGGACTGCTTCCTATATAATAAAACTAAGAAAAAGATGAAAATCATTATTATCTTTGCCACGTGCTAGATGAAAAATGAAAACATTGTTCACTTAAATATTGGTTAAACATTTTTATACACACACACATTCATTCATTCATTCTCTCTGTCTCCTCCCCTTGGCTTAGGCATTCATATCCATTACCTGTTTCACTGTCTGTTAACCTGCATTTGACTCAGTGCTATGTACGACGTTTTTGAACCTAAATAATGTATTAGTCCTTTGTCATGTGTTATATATCTAAATATTTTCCCCACCCCATATCTTTTGATTTTATTCATAGTGTTTGTCAGATTCTTTAATTTTTATGTAATTATGAAAGTCTGCTATTTTACTGATGTATCAGTAGGAAGACAGACAATGGACATAAGAATATACTGTATATGCCTCCATAATCCAAAACTTTGGGGGGAAAAGCACATCTGCATGTGCGGCAGTTTTAAAAACATGACTGCAAATTCTTTGATCCTCCTTCACTGAGAAGTGATCTATGTTCCCTCCCCTGGAATCTGGCTAGGATACTGACTGCTTTGACCAATAGAGCATGGTAAAAGTGACACTCTGTGACTTCTGAGGCTATACAGTCATAGAGCTTCTGACTTTTCACTGGCACACTCATTATGAAGCCCTGTATCTGACTACCCCAAGGCCACCATGTTGTAGGAAGCCCAAAACTCACAGAGAGGTCATATACAAGTTATTTGGTTAACACTCCCAATTAAGCCCAGTCTTTGAGTCGTTCTATTCCAGGATCTAGACGTGTAAAGAAACATCTCAATGAATCTAATCCCTTGTCATTAGAATCTTTTCAGCTGAGGCTAACCTTGGAACAGAAACCAACCATTCCCATTATGCCCTGTCTCAATTTTTGAGAATCTTTAGAGCATAATAGAATGGTTGTCTTATACCACTGAGTTTGGGGTGATTTTTTACATAGCAATAGATAATTGGATCAGTATGCATATGTATGTGTATGTGAATAGATGGGTACATACACTCCCACCCACACAGAGGAAGAGAGACACCAGGTTTACTAACCAAATGTCATGAATGTTTTTATTTTTTCTTCTTTATGTCTTTTTGCACTTCCTAAGCTTTCTATAATATCTATACATTGCTTTTCTTTCTACTTTTTATTATGGGCATTTTCAAATGTAAACAAAAGCAGAAGCCAACAGTATAATGAATACCCATGACCCTACCATCCAGCTTCAGCAGTTAGCAAACAATTCACTATTCTGCACAGAGCCATCCCTTGGTATTCGTGGGTGATTTGTTCCAGGACCCCTCTCAGATACCAAAATCTATGGATACTTAAGTCCCTTATATAAAATGGCATAGCAGGCTGGGAACAGTGGCTCATGCCTATAATCCCAGCACTTTGGGAGGCTGAGGTAGTCTCAGGAGTTTGAGACCAGCCTGGGTAACATGGCAACACCCCATCTCTACCAAAAAAAAAAAAACTTAGCCAGGCATGGGGACTTGCACCTGCAGTCCCAGCTACGTGGGAGGCTGGGGCAGGAGAACTACGTGAGCCTGCGGATGAGGAGGCTGCAGTGAGCCAAGATCATGACACTATACACCAGCCTGGGTGACAGAGAGACACCTTGTCTTAAAAAAATAAAATAAAAATAAAAAAAAAACCCCACCAACAAACAACAAAAACAAAAAAAATAAATTGATGTGGCATCTGCATATAACCTATGCAATCTCACTGTACCTATCTCTAGATTCCTTAGAATACCTAATACACTGCTGGGCATGGTGGCTCAAGCCTGTAATCCCAGCACTTTGGGAGGCTGAGGCAGGTGGATCACGAGGTCAAGAGATCAAGACCATCCTGGGCAACATGGTGAAACCCCGTCTCCACTAAAAATACAAAACATTAGCTGGGCATGGTGGGACGTGCCTGTAATCCCAGCTACTCAGGAGGTTGAGGCAGGAGAATTGCGTGAACCCAGGAGGCGGAGGTTGCGGTGAGCCAAGATCACGCCATTGCACTCCAGCCTGGGTAACAAGAGTGAAACAACATCTCAAAAAAAAAAAAAAGAATACCTAATACAATATAAATGCTATGTAAACAGTTGTTATTGTTTAGGGACTAATGACAAGAAAAAAAAGTCTATATATGTTCAGTACAGACACAACCATTCTTTTTTTCTCTGAATATTTTTTTATCCATGGTTGGTTGAATCCATGGACGTAGAATCCACAGATACGAAGGCTGACTGTATGTTACTTTTTTAAAAGGAAGAAACCCACAAAAAATAATATTTTTATCTTGTCTAAGAATAGAAACAACTGATGTGCTCCTGGGCTATCTAAAGCAAGAGGTGATATTCGATTGTTAGCTAAAGGTTTAGAAATGATTGAGCAGGGCTCCTCCTGTTTTTCAGACCTGCCATACCTTTGAAAGCAGGACATGCCAGATCAGTGTGAGAGATGAAAAGGCGGACCCCAAACTGTCCACCAGTGTTGGGCCCCTGTGTCAAGGGAAGGAAATAAAAGAGACCCTCTGCTCTCCAACTTGAATAAATACAACCTTTCAAACCTGACACTCAGTCTTCTTCTGAAAGGTTTTCCTACATTCTGGTGAACTTGTATTACATAAACTTAAAATAACAAGTGGCAATGTCTTTTCAAAGCCAGTAACATAATCCAAAGGCATGTCAAGGAATGCAGTGACTCTAGCATTTCCTAAGTGTGGGAGGCAAGAGTGACGCAAGAAGAGGCCATGCCCCGTAGCATCCAAACTCTAACAACTTAGATCATCCTTGGAAAAACTCTGGAGATCAACGGCAGTTTGTTTGTTGGGTTGTGCATTAATTCATCCAAATATTAGCACATACTCCATGCCAAGCACTGTGTCGGGCTAAGGAGAAAAAAGGGACAGGCTGTACTCTTAAAGGACTTCATAGCCAGTGGGGAGAGAGAAGCCAGTGAACAATTACACGATGTATGCTCTGATAAAGCTATGCCTGACGGGTAGGGGTGGAGGTGGACTGGCCTGGGGGAGGAGGTGACTTGTGAGCTGGAAGGGAGTGAGAAATCGACAACTAGAGGTACAATGAGAAGCAGGAGAGCACAGAGGACCTTTAGGGACACTGGCAGCTTAACTGGTCAGAGTGCAGTTATGAAGGAACAGAGTAGTATCGGCAATGAGGAGAGAAACAGATAGGGACCAGCTCCCAAAGGAGTGTGTAGGCCTTGCTAAAAATTTGGATTCTGGCGGGTTGTGGTGGCTCATGCCTGAAATACCAGCACTTTGGGAGGCTGAGGCAGGTGAATCATCTGAGGTCAGGAGTTCAAGACCAGCCTGCCCAACATGATGAAACCCCATCTCTACAAAAATACAAAAAGTAGCCAGGCATGACGGTGGGTGACTGTAATCCCAGCTACTCCGGAGGCTGTCAGGAGAATCACTTAATCCCAGAAAGTGGAGGTTGCAGTGATCCGAGACAGCGCCAGGTGACTGAGCCTAGGTGACTGAGCAAGACTCCATCTCTTTTTCTTTTTTTAAAAGACAGGGTTTCACCATGTTGGTCAGGCTGGTCTTGAACTCCCGATCTTAGGTGATCCGCCTGCCTTGGCCTCCAAGGTGCCTGGATTACAGGCATGAGCTACCACGCCCGGCCGCAAGACTCCATCTCAAAAAATAAATAAATAAATAAATAAATAAATAAAAATAAAAATTAAAAAAAAAATAGATTATATCCCCAAACTATGGGGAACTAGATAAATTTTTAGATTCACCTGTTAGACTCTAGCAGAAGATGGAGGTATGGGTAGGATCGGCAGCACAAAAATAACTGGGAGGAGTTTGGTTGTCTTCCTCTGTCTCACTCCCAGAGACAACCAAAAAGGGGCACTTCTCACAATGGCAGAATCATCCATTGAACCCTTTCCCACTGAGTATAAACATGTCTTTGAACTCCTTCTCGGTTCAACATTCCAGACAGCTACTCCTAACTGTTAGAACGGGCTTGTAAAGTCACACTAACTTGTCACCCTGGTGCTAAAGTATGAACCCTGGTAGAGCAGGAATTTTATCTACTTTACATCACAGTTGTATCCTCAGTGCTTAGCACAGTGTCTGAGGCAGAGCAGTTGCTCAATAAGTATTTATTAAACGGAAGTGAATCTATCTTTCTCATCTGTGGTCCTGACCTCACGTCCTCCACCCCCTGGGAACATGCATCTCAACACTGTTTAGCACTGGGATGCAGCACTTACGCTCTGCACCTCTCCCTGTATCTCCTGCAGGTCCCACTGGGTGATGGGCTGGCTAACTCATAGACTAAATGAATTTGAGTAAAGATATGAATGGCTGATAAGAGCTTAGTACTTTCAGAGAGCATTTGTATTTTCATAGCAGATTAAGAAATGGGAACTATGCAGACTTTCTGATATCATACCTTTGAGCTTTTTCAATCCCCTCTCTTCCAAAGCAGAACAACACCACTTCTTGACATATGTGTTCTCCATGAATCTTTCCAAAGCAAATGGGTCTAACAATATAAGCCAGCAGAGCCATCTCCTAAAAAGTACTCCATACCTGCTTGTCCCGCCTCTTCTGAGTATAATGTAGCCACAATTTGACACACTTGCACAGCAGTGCTATCCTGCAACAAAATGAAAAACACCAAGGTACTTACTGCCCATTCACACCTTCAGGTTTCAAGTTCTTAAAACCTTGTTTTAAGGCAGGTAAATCAGGGTACAGTTACTTCCTGTGAGTTAAAGGCACTCTATGGGCTTAACAGTTTCATTTTAGGAGAGACATCAGTAAGATTCCGGTATCTGGCCAGGTACGGTGGCTCATGCCTGTAATCCCAACACTTTGGGAGGCCAAGGCATATGGGTCTCAAGGTCAGGAGATCGAGACCAGCTGGCCAATATGGTGAAATCCCGTCTCTACTAAAAAACTACAAAAATTAGCCAGGCATGGTGGTGCATGCCTGTAATCCCAGCTACTCAGGAGGCTGAGGCAGAAGATATGCTTGAACCCGGAAGGTGGAGATTGCAGTGAGCCGAGATCACACCATTGCACAACAGACCGGGCAAGAAGAGTGAAACTCCGTCTCCAAAAAAAATAATAATAATTTGTCAACTTCTGATTCTGGACTGTGCATTGCCTAAAAATGTTGACAGCTTTCTTGTAAAACCTAATTAGACCATCAAAAGCACAGTATCTCTAGAACTTAGGAAATACGTATGGAATCCCCTAGATATCCTGAACTTCCTGGTTTCATGGTCAATCTATGGGGGGCCGTGACATGTTCCCTCTTACACTTAGTTTTGTAAACCAGGGTTTAGAATAATATGCCTTGATAACTCTACATGAGTCGGTTAATTATTGGGATTCTCACTAACTCACTAAAAAATGCTTCAAGGCCAGGTGTGGTGGCTCATGCCTATAATTCAAGCACTTTGGGAGGCTGAGGAGGGTGGATCACCTGAGGTCAAGAGTTTGAGACCAGCTTGGCCAACATGGTGAAACCCTGTCTCTACTAAAAATATAAAAATGAGTAGGGCATGGTGGTGCACACCTGTAATCCCAGCTATTCTGGAGGCTGAGGCAGGAGAATCGCTTGAACCTGGGAGGCAGAGGTTGCAGTGAGCCGAGATTACACCATTGGACTCCAGCCTGGGCAACAGGAGCAAAACTCCATCTCAAAAAAAAAAAATGTTTCAAAATTGGACCTAAACTATGCAAATTAAGTTGATTATACTATGGGGAGAGGAAGGAAGGGGAGGGCAAAGAAGAGGACACATTGAACATTTCTAGCAGCAAAAAAGTTCATACGTAGTATTTCCCTCTGAGGACTAAGATCTTACTCTTACTTGCAGGGAGGGGGCCAGGCCAGGCAACTTTTATTTTTCCCTTTATACTTTTCACCCTATATATTCTGAGCTTTCCTCACAGAAATGTAGTGTTTTTATTTATTTAACTGAATGACTAGTTCTAAAATATTGAGGACAATCCCTGCACCCCTTAAGACTGAGCCACAAATACCCCTGACTCTTCTCTTTAACACTAGCAACGCATGAATTCTAACTTGTGAACATCTTGATGCCTGCAGGACTGAGGCAATGAGCGACCAGGCACATTCTTCAGACTATGGTGGCCAAGAACCAATGCAAATATCCTCATTCTTTCTCCCACGTGATCAGAAAAAAAACCAAATTCAGGAACAAATGGTTTATAGCAGGACGTCGACCCTAGCAGGCCTTTCTGAATCTGCCACACTAACCCATAGAAGGGCAAGTCATCACTCCTGGAAAACAGTAAGTCAGAGGCACAGAGTCCCTGAGAGCCAGGGATAAAGCCAGAGTCCCTACCTGTAGTGGTCCCAGGCAGCATGTAGTAAGGGGAGCTGCTCTCTTTCTTTTTTCTGCTCAATCTGAGACTGCCAGAGGTTCCAGAACCTGTGCAGCAGCTAAAGCAAGGTAGGAAGAAAATGGAAATTTACTGAGATGAAAGGTAAGGCAGTGAATCTTACTTCAACAGACTGAGCTCCCCTAAAGCAGGAGTTACCTCAGTTTGGAGCAGCCAACATACAATGGGCATACAAATTAATGATGGCTGAACTACAGAGCTATTCCGGGCCAACATAAAAGGCAAAAAGATGGTTCTTCGTCTGTGGAAATCTAGATGAAGAAGCTATTCCTAATCTGGGTCTCACAGAAGACTGACATTTTAGAAAGTCATTTTAGAAATTAAAACTGCTTTTATTGCATATTCACACCTATGAAGTAGTCTTGCATAGATGTTTAACTTCAGTCTAAACAAGCCCTTCAATGTAATGGTTATAGGAACCATGCAGACTAAATAAAAATTAAATGATATCAAAAGGAAACAATCACATGAATCAAGAAAATAAAACACTGTACAAAGCTAGGCATGGTGGTGTGCACCTGTAGTCCTCACTCCTCAGGAGGCTGAGGTAGGAAAATCTCTTGAGCCCAGGAGGATGAGGCTGCAATGAGCTATGATCACACCCCTACACTCCAGCCTGGATGACAGAGTGAGACCCTGTCTCTAATAATAATAGTAAATAAGTTGTATATACAAAATAACTGGCCTGTCCTTTAAAGAAAAAAGGCAGTCATTTGAAAAAGTATAGCTACGCTAAGTGAAATAAGCCAGTTGCAAAAGGACAAATACTATATGATTCCACCTGTGAGGTATCTAGAATACTCAAATTTATACAGACAGAAAGTAGAATGGTGGTTTCCAGGGGATGGGGAAAGAGGAAACGTGTACACAGTTTCAGTTTTACAAGACAGAAAAGTTCTGCCCGGCACAGTGGCTCACGCATATAACACCAGCACTTAGGGAGGCCAAGGCACGTAGATCACCTGAAGTCAGGAGTTCGTGACCAACCTGACCAACATGGAGAAATCCTGTCTCTACTAAAAATAAAAAATCAGCTACTTGGGACACTGAGGCAGGAGAATCGCTTGAATCCAGGAGGTGGAGGTTGCAGTGAGCCGAGATCGTGCCATTGCACTCCAGACTGGGCAACAAGAGTGTAACCTTATCTTAAAAAAACAAAACAGAAAGTTCTAGCAATGGATAATGATGATCATTGCACAATGTGGATGTACATGTCACAGAACGGTATACTTAAAAATGGAATGTGATTTTAAAAAAAGGTGATAAAGTTTAAGTGATATATCTTTTACATTAAAAAATATAATGCACTAGGGATGGTAGCCTGTAATCCCAGTACTCTGGGAGGCCAAGGCAGGAGAATCACCAAAGGTCAGGAGTTCAAGACCAGCCTGGCCAACATGGTGAAACTCCATCTCTACTAAAAATACAAAAATTAGCCGGGTGTGGTGGCATGTGCCTGTAGTCCCAGCTACCTAAAAGGCTGAGGCAGGAGAATTGCTTGAACCTGGGAGGCAGAGGTTGCAGTGAGCCGAGATCATGTTACTGCACTCCAGCTTGGGCAACAGAGCGAGACCCTGTCTCAAAAAACAAACAACAACAACAAATATATATATATATTTGTTGATATCTATAATTTACTTTGTAATTATTCAGCAAAAAACAATGAAGCAAATATAGCAAATATTAACAATTAGTATATCCAGGTAGTGAGTATATAGAAGCTTATTATATTACTTTCCATTTTTCTGTATTCTTAAACATTTTTCATAAACCAACAGAGGAAAAAATCCTCCTACACCAAATATTTATTTATACACACACATACACACACACACACGTGTGTATGTGTATGTAAAAAAAGAAGTGTAGCCGGGCGCGGTGGCTCACGCCTATAATCCCAGCACTTTGGGAGGCCGAGGCTGGTGGATCACGAGGTCAAGAGATCGAGACCATCCTGGTCAACAAGGTGAAACCCCGTCTCTACTAAAAATACAAAAATTAGCTGGGCATGATGGTGCGTGCCTGTAATCCCAGCTACTCGGGAGGCTGAGGCAGGAGAATTGCTTGAACCCAGGAGGCAGAGGTTGCGGTGAGCCGAGATCATGCCATTGCACTCCAGTCTGGGCAACAACAGCGAAACTCCATCTCAAAAAAAAAAAAAAAAAAGAAGTGTAGTTGGGGGAAGGAAACTTCTAGATTAAAAGCTTTAAGAGACATAATAACCAAATGCATTTCTGCTGAGAATCAATCAGAAAACAACCAAATGCAGTTAGTGATCCTTAACTGCATTCTGCATTCTGGTTTGCAAAAAGCAGCTATAAATAAGACATCTTTGAAACAACTATGGGAATTTGAATACTGACTAGGTATTAGATAATGTTAGAGAATCCCTGTTAATATTCTGAGGGATGATAATGACATTGTCGTTACATAAGAAAATGTCTTTGAGTGACGCATGCTGAAATATTTAGATGCAAAGTGTTGTGATGGCTATAACTTACTTTGTAATTATTCAGCAAAAAACAACAAAGCAAATATAGCAAATATTAACACTTAGTGTATCCAGGTAGTGAGTATATAGGGGCTTATTACATTACTTTTTCCTACTGTTCCGTATTTTTAAACCTTTTTCATAAAACAATAACGGGAAAAAATCCTTCTACACCAACAAACAAAATCTTCAAGTAGAGACAATATTTGTTGACATCAAGTAAACAAACCATTGTTTTATAATGGACTTATAATGGAAGTAATAGACTTATAATAGAAACACAACCAAAGACTCCTCTAATGCAAGATTTGAAGTGTATCTGGGGCCAGGCATGGTGGCTTATATCTGTAATCCCAGAACTTTGGGAGGCCGAGGCAGGTAGATTGCTTGAGGCCAAGAATTTGAGACCAGCCTGGCCAACATGGAGAAAACCTGTCTCTACTAAAAATACAAAAAATTAGCTGGCCATGGTGGTGCACACCTGTGATTCCAGCTACTTGGGAGGCTAAGACACGAGAATCGCTTGAACCCAGGAGGTGGATGTTGCAATAAGCTGAGATCACGCCACTGCACTCCCGCTTGGGCAACAGAGCAAGACACTGTCTCAGGAAAAAAAAAAAAAAAATTAGTAAAATGGAAACAAAGGTTTTAGGAAAGTCTAAAAAAATTTAAAAAAAAATTAAAAAAAAAAAAAAAAAAAAAAGAGTTTTGCTTAATTTGGCAAGACTGAAAAAAAAAGAGAGAGAAAAAAAGAATGGCTATCAGAAGAGGTCCCTTCATACAGGAAGACAACCCTCACCGTGACACCATGCTGCTGGTAAGCAAGATTCCTTCTTATTTGCTGGAGATGGGTGTGGGCGACATTGTCTTTTAGGGCTCTAAAGCAAAAAAACTGTGGAAAGAAAGGACACAACCAATTATAAGGACTAGAATCAGGAGAATCTGTTAACTAAGAGCAGAACACAGACAGTGCCTCAAATCGGAGGAGAGAAGGTTGGTCCCAGCTTCTTATAGCTGTTCCATTTCCCTGAGTGTTTCTCTGCTTTGAGATTCAACCGGGAGCCCAACACAAGCCAGCCAACACAGCAGGCACTTAATAAATGTTTGCGGAACCCTTCTTGCTGTCCATGTATACTGTACAAGAACACACCTATACCAGGAGAGAACCCCATAACCCACATGACAATTCTACAGACCAAGGTCAACATCAACTTTTGCCTCTCAGAAAAAAACAGACCGACTCTATCTGTGGTCGTTTTCCTGTTTTTGTTTTTTACCATGTGGGCTCAGTGTGTACGTTTATACAATTGTAAACACAGTGTTGCTAAAGTGGAGGAAGGAATCTTTAGTGAAAGAGGGGTTGGGATTGGGGCAGGATATCTGGACCTGGATCCAGCTCCATCAATAATGCCTAAAAGGCCTGGTGCAGTGGCTCACGCCTGTAATCCCAACACTTTAGGAGGCTGAGGCAGGAGGACTGCTTGAGCACAGGAGTTCAAGACCAGCCTGGCCAACATTGGGAGACTCTGTATAAAAAACTAAAAAATTCATTGGGCATGGTGGCATGTGCCTGTGGTCCCAGCTAACTTGGGAGGTTGAGGTGGAAGGATCACTTGAGTCCAGGAGTTCAAGACAGCAGCAAGCTGTGATTGTACCAATGCACTCCAGCCTGGGTGACAGAGGAGACTATCTCTAATAATAATAATGATAACAATGATGCCTTAACACCAGGCATGGTGGCACATGCCTATAGTCCCAGCTACTCAGGAGGCTGAGGTGGGAGGACTGCTTGAGCCCAGAAGTTGAATCTAGCCTGGGCAACATAGTGAGACCCCATCTCTAAAAAATAATAATAATGCCTCACAGATTGGCTAGGCAAAGCTGATTTGCCCATATTCCTCCATGCCTTAGGCCTCGGTTTTCTGAGACAGAAGTGAAGATATCAGGCTGGGTTAAGGGTTTTTGTACTGTGCTTTGTGGAACCCCACAGGCTCCTGAAAATATTTGAAGACCACCTTGTGTAGCAGCAGAAGGGAAGAGTAGCAGGCAGAACAGGGACTGACTCCCTGACATGCTTCAACCACAGCATGGCTACTTTGACCTATTTAAAGTTGAGGCTTCCACCACTCAAAAGGGGTTTTCCCATGTTAAAAAAAAAAAGCTCAGGAATAATCTCTGAGGTTCCTTTACAGCTCCAAACCCCTCTGACCCCACACCATTACCATCTGTAATCCAAAATGAAAACAGGGACACCTGCAATGGAAGGGGGGCTTCATGACTAAAACTCACCCATAGCTAGCTGCATTTAATGAAGGTGATAGGAGTCAGGGTCCCGCAAGAGTGGATACCCAAGAAAGGCTGCTGAGCAGAGCCATGCCAGGCTGCAGGGTTCTTACCAGCTGCCTGTGCCTGTGGTGCTCTTCTGCCATCTCACACTGGGCAGCTTCTTCTGCACATAGCAGCATGTCTTTCAGGAACTTAAGGTCTCCAGTCTCAACAATGTTCTGGCCCCCACACAGTGCATTTCTAGTGACCCACCTGAAGGGCTGTGGCTGTCAGGGATAACAGATGTACCAGCTGGGCTAAGGTCTACCTCTGTCTACCCCTGATGACCCAGAGCAGCAGTGGGCAAAGGGAAACCGTGTCAATTACTGATCAAACATCTGGCCTTACATTCCTTCCCTTGAATGCCCATGAGATGAGAGGCAAAAAATACCTGAGATAAACCGCTACCGGTTTCAGTAAACATTTAGAAATCACCATATCAAAAACAGAATCTGCTTCTTTTTCTGTACTCTCTGTTTTGGCATCACAATCTAGTCAGTTGAGCTAAAAACCTTGGAGTTATTTTCAAACCTGTTCTCCTCCCACTCTCATTTAATCGGACACCAAGTCCATCTGCTCTCTTCCTAAATCTCTTGGCTCCCTCCATCCCCTCCTGCTCTTCTGTTCCCATCCCCAACACCCTGCAGTTCATCTGACTCATTCCTTTACACAGATTGGTAAGTGAGCCTCCTCCCATAATGGGTCTCCTACCAGGGCTAGCCTCTCTCCGCTAATCCAGAATTATCCTTTCCAAAGCACAAATCTGACTGCATTTCCTTTCTTTCTCTCTCTCTCTTTTTTTTTTTTTTGAGACGGAGTTTCGCTCTTGTTACCCAGGCTGGAGTGCAATGGCGCGATCTCGGCTCACCGCAACCTCCGCCTCCTGGGTTCAGGCAATTCTCCTGCCTCAGCCTCCTGAGTAGCTGGGATTACAGGCACGCACCACCATGCCCAGCTAATTTTTTGTATTTTTAGTAGAGACGGGGTTTCACCATGTTGACCAGGATGGTCTCGAACTCTTGACCTCGTGATCCACCTGCCTCGGCCTCCCAAAGTGCTGGGATTACAGGCTTGAGCCACCGCGCCCGGCTTTTTTTTTTTTTTTTAAAGACACTGGGTTGGCCGAGTGCAGTGGCTCATGCCTGTAATCCCAGCACATTGGGAAGCCGAGGCGGATCACGAGGTCAAGAGATCGAGACCATCCTGGTCAACATGGTGAAACCCCGTCTCTACTAAAAATACAAAAAATTAGCTGAGCATGGTGGTGCGTGCCTGTAATCCCAGCTACTCAGGAGGCTGAGGCAAGAGAATTGCCTGAACCCAGGAGGCGGAGGTTGCGGTGAGCCGAGATCGCGCCATTGCACTCCAGCCTGGGTAACATGAGTGAAACTCCGTCTCAAAAAAAAAAAAAAAAAAGAAAGAAAAGAGACCAGGGGCGGTGGCTTGCACCTGTAAGCCAAGTGCTTTGGGAGGACCCCTGGAAACAAGGGGTTAAACCCCCCCTGAAATAAGATAGAAAAAAAAAAAAAGAGACTGGGTCTTGCTCTATCAACCCAGGCTGGAGGGCAAGGGTGCCATCATAGTTCACGGTAGCCTAAAACTCCTGGGTTCAAGCGATCCTCCCAAAGCACTTGGCTTACAGGTGCAAGCCACCGCCCCTGGTCTCTTTTCTTTCTTTTTTTTTTTTTTTTTTTTTTAAATCACCCCCTCCCCCCACCTCTTCTCTTCTTAAAAACCTCTAATGCCGGGTGTGATGGTATGTGCCTGTAGTTCCACATACTTGGGAGGCTGAAGAGGGAGGACTGCTTAAGCCCAGGAGTTCAAGACTGCAGTAAGCTACCACTGCACGTGTGAAAGCCACTGCAGTCCAGCCTGGGCAACATGAGACCCCATCTCTAAATTTTAAAAAGTTAAAAAACCTCCAGAGATTCCTGTATCTCATCTGCCTTCCCGCCATCCACACATCGACAACTCACTGGATTCTTGAATGCTTTTCCTCAACGCCAAACCTGGGTAAACATCATTCTTTCCACTGAAATGCCGTTTCCAACCTTCTGCAGTCTTCCCCTAAGACATCAACCTTCCCAACTTCTCATCTCCTATGACTTAAATTCAGGACAAACATGACCTCCTTGGCTGAATCTCCACAGTGGCTCTCACAGGACTTGAAACAAATCGTTATGATAGCAGTTATCATGCCATATTTAAAGATCCATTTTCATGCCTATTTTCCCCACGAGACAATGAATTACCACTAGTCTGAGCTCCCTTGTATCCCAGAAATTAAGCAGGAGTTTACACAAAGCAAAGCTTTGATGAACAAATAAAATGTGTGGATGAACGTCTTAGGCAGTCCAAACTCTCACACTTGGGCACATAGTATGGTAGGAGTAGTGATTAAGAAAATGTACACAGGGCCGGACACGGTAGCTCATGCCTGTAATCCCAGTACTTTGAGAGGCTGAGGCAGGTGGATAAATTGAGGTCAGGAGTTCGAGACCAGCCTGGCCAACATGGTGAAACCCTGTCTCTACTTAAAGTACAAAAATTAGCTGGATGTGGTGGCAGGCGCCTGTAATCCCAGCTACTTGGGAGCCTGGCTAAGGCAGGAGAATCACTTTAACTCAGGAGGCAGAGGTTGCAGCGAGCCGTGATGGCACCACTGCAATCTAGTCTGGGCGACAGAGATTCTGTTTCAAAAAAAAGAAGATGATGACGTACACAGGAGTTAAAGGCCTGGGTTTTTTAAATCCTGACTCTGCCAATGACTTGTGACTTTAAAATACACTCAATCCCCTGAATCTGTTTCCTCACCCGTAAAATGGCAATAGTGGCACCTACTCCACAGGGTTGCTATGAGGATGAAGAGGATGATACATAATGTTCTGCTATATAGTAAAAGCGCAATAAATGGAACCTATGATCACGGTGATGGTATCATCAAGAAAAAGACAGTGGTGGCTATTTCCACCACCTAGTGGGTAGAGAAAAGCACTTAAATTACAACACCAAAAATTTTAATCAGGAAAGTGGGATTACCTCTGAGGGAAAGGAAAAAGAATGCAATCAGGGAGGAGCAAATAGGTGTGCTAGTAAGGTTCTATTTTGAAAGTTGGGTGACAGATACATAGTTGTTCATTTTATTATTATTATTATTATTATTATTTTTGGTGACAGAGTTTTACAGTATTTACCCAGGCTGCAGTGCAATGGTGCGATCTCGGCTCACTGCAACCTCCGCCTCCTGGGTTCAAGCAATTCTGCCTCAGCCGCCCGAGTAGCTGGGACTACAGGCGTGCGCCACCATGCCCAGCTAATTTTTGTATTTTTACTAGAGACGGGGTTTCACCATGTTGACCATGATGGTCTCAGTCTCTTGACCTCGTGATCCACCCGCCTCGGCCTCCCAAAGTGCTGGGATTACAGGCGTGAGCCACTGCACCTGGCCCATTTTATTATTATTTTTGAGACGGAGTTTTGCTCTTGTTGCCCTGGCTAGAGTGCAATGGCACAATGTCAGCTCACTGCAACCTCTGCCTCCTGGGTTTAAGTGATTCTCCTGCCTCAGCCTCCCAAGTAGCTGGGATTACAGGCATGCGCCACCATGCCTGGCTAATTTTGTATTTTTAGTAGAGATGGGGTTTCTCTATGTTGGTCAGGTTGGTCTCAAATTCCTGACCTCTGGTGATTCTCCTGCCTGGCCTCCCCAAGTGCTGGGATTATAGGCGTGTGCCACTGCACCCTGCCCATTTTATTATTTTTTTTAACTATAAATATATAAGTACTCTTTTGTATATACAGTCCCAATTAAAACATTTTAACACTGTCAACAGAGATAAGGCTGTCTTAAACTGTTGGGCAATTGTTTCCCATATATCTCATGACTTTTGTTTCACATGTTCCTAAGCGCCTGCTGTCCTGGCTGAGGCAATGGACAGCCTGGGTATCTGAAAGGATACAGTGTTGCCAGTGAGTAAAGGTGCGCCGCAAGGCCATCTTCCTGGCCAGTTTCTCCACCTGGGTCTGGTGGGCGTGCAAGCTCTCCCTCCGCTCCCAGGCCTGCTGCCAGTCACAGAAGTGTATCTGGAGCACAGTGACATGATGGAATCGTTCAGCCATCTCTGCAACAGAGAAATAACTTAAAGTGCTGCTCGCCCAAGGTTAGAAGATGAGCTGGAAGCATCTTTTTTTAAATTATTATTTGAGAGCGAGTTTTTGCTCTTATTGCCCAGGCTGGAGTGCAATGGCATGATCTTGGCTCACTGCAACCTCCGTCTCCTGAGTTCAAGTGATTCTCCTGCCTCAGCCTTCCCAAGTAGCTGGGATTACAGGCACATACCACTATACCCGGCTAATTTTGTATTTTTAGTAGAGACTGGGTTTCTCCATGTTGGTTAGGCTGGTCTCGAATTCCCGACCTCAGGTGACCTGCCCATCTCGGCCTCCCAAAGTGCTGGGATTACAGGTGTGAGCCACCACGCTCAGTGGAAGAATCTGTAGGACAAGCTGAACCCCACTTTTGACAGAGAGCAGGAATTCAAGGCTGTACACACACACGCACACATACACACACACACACACCCTAAAATAAAAGGTTTTTAAATTTTATTTATTTATTTTTTTAAAGACAGGGTTTCACCATGTTGGTCAGGCTGGTCTTGAACTCCTGACCTCAGGTGATCGGCCCGCCTTGGCCTCCAAAGTGCTTGGATTACAGGCGTGAGCCACCACACCCGGCCTAAATAAAAGTTTTTTAAACCTTTAAAGGTCATTAGGAATCCCTCAGCAACATCTCCTGTCTCCAAGGAGAGAAAAGGTCTGTGATTTTAGGGAGAAGGTTGCTGTAAAATCAAGTTACATCACAGGGCTGGGGCTTCTAGTTAGATACTAATGAGCAGGAATGGTAACTGTTGCTTTCAAAGAGGACTCTGTTTCACTTTTGCTTCTATACAAATATCTCCTGGATAGGACTTAGAGATTCAGCAACGACATAAAATTCAGTTGCCATGCTGGGGTAGGCTTTTTCTGGGCTTTCTGCCAAGCTGTTCCTGGCTGCCAGTTTTATCTTCTTTTAATGCTAGTCAAGATAATGCTCTGATGAGCTGGGAACTGGGAAGGGGATGGGAATCAGACCTGGAATTTGAATGCTGTAATTGGAGGCAGAGGTTAGTCTATAGCTTATCATACTAAACAGCTTAATGCTTTCACATTCTAAGACTGGGCAACTGGACTATTGGTCTGGCACCACTATCGTCAAATGAACACATTCAGACTCTCCCAAGAGACAGATTCATGCAGTGAGGTTTGGGTGAATGCCAGAGACCCTTAACCCAGTGTCTAGCATAGTGCTTGACTCACTTCTGCATAAACTTAATAAACTTAAGTTAAAAAGTGTACCAATGTTCATGTTTATTATTATTTCTGAATCTAATTGGGAAATGAAATAATATAAACAGTATCCAAAAACCTCGACATCAAAATCACATACATTCAAATAGTTGGAGACAAACAGAAACTATCCAAATATCTATTAATAGGAGAATGGCGGCCAGGCACGGTGGCTCACACCTATAATCCCAGCACTTTTGGAGGCCAAGGTAGGCGGATCACCTGAAGTCGGGAGTTTGAGACCAGCCTGACCAACATGGAGAAACCCCATCTCTACTAAAAATACAAAATTGCCTGCACATGGGGGTGCACAACTGTAATCCCAGATACTTGGGAGGCTGAGGCAGGAAAATCACTTGAACCTGAGAGGCGGAGGTTGCAGTGAGTTGAGATCGTCCCATTGCACTCCAGGCTGGGCAAGAAGAGTGAAACTCAGTCTCAAGAAAAAAAAAAATAGGCAGGGCGCGGTGGCTCACGCCTGTAATCCCAGCACTTTGGGAGGCCGAGGCAGGTGGATCACGAGGTTAAGAGATCGAGACCATCCTGGTCAACATGGTGAAACCCCGTCTCTACTAAAAATACAAAAAAATTAGCTGGGCATGGTGGCGCGTGCTTGTAATCCCAGCTACTCAGGAGGCTGAGGCAGGAGAATTGCCTGAACCCAGGAGGCGGAGGTTGCAGTGAGCCAAGATCGTGCCATTGCACTCCAGCATGTGTAACAAGGGCGAAACTCCGTCTCAAAAAAAAAAAAATATATATATATAGGAGAATGGTTAAGTATATTAAGGTAAGCCATCCTATAAAATATGAACAGTTGTTAAAAAATAACATTTATGACAAATACTTAAGATGTAGAAAACTGTTAACTGTGTGGAAAAAAGCAAGATACAAAACCATAGGTTATCAACATAATATATACATAAAAGAGGCCGGGTGCAGTGGCTCACACCTGTAATCCCAGCACTATGGAAGGCCAAGGCAGGTGGATCACCTGAGGTCAGGAGTTTGAGACCAGCCCGGCCAAGGTGATGAAACCCCACCTCTACTAAAAATACAAAAATTAGCTGGGCGAGGTGGCGGGCACCTGTAATCCCAGCTACTCAGGAGGCTGAGACAGAAGAAATGCTTGAACCGGGGAAGCAGAGGTTGCAGTGAGCTAAGATCGTGCCACTGCACTCCAGCCTGGGCAACAAGAACAAAACTCTATCTCAAAAAAGCAAAACAAAACAAAACAAAACAAAAAAAGCCTATCTATCTACAATAGATATAAATAAAAAGCCAAAGGGAAATAAATGTGATTCAAGGATGATGTATTTTCCTCCTCAATCTCCTTTTACCAACATTTCTGGAGTAACACCATTATATTACTTCTCAGTACAGTACCACTGGCAGCAGGAGAGTGGAAACTGTGACCAGACTCTGTGTCTCGAGAGCCTCAGGCTTCCTACTCACCATTCTGCTGTCTCTTTACTCTGCGGACTTGCAGGTATTCAAGCCAGGCCTTCAGAAACCTCCGCTTTTGCCAGTGCTGGTGGTGCTTCACTGCAGAGGCAACCTTTTGTTTCTCCTTCTGGACATATAGGAGCTGCTCCCACCATTGTGACCAAGCCTGAAAAACAGAGAAGAGGCAGCAGTCAAAGGAGAAACAGGAAAACAGGGTGAAGTACAGGCGAAGAGGGAAAAAAGATAAACAGACACACACACTGGAAAGGCTAAAAATGAAACAAGAAAGTGGCAATCCCCTAGCAGGATCATAAGCTATGGGATTGAGGGGTAAGAGGGTCTTTAAGAGGGACATGCTGCTTTCAGAAAGTAATTTTTTTCTGGACTTAAAAAAAAAGAAGAAGAAAAGAAGAATAAAATCAACAAACAGATGCCGGGCACGGTGGCTGACATCTCTAATCCCAGCACTTTGGAAGGTTGAGGTAGGTAGATCACCTGAGTTCAGGAGTTCAAGACCAGCCTGCCCAACATGGTGAAGTCCCATCTCTACTAAAAATACAAAAAAATCAGCTGGGCATAGTGGCAGGTGCCTGTAATCCCAGCTACTCGGGAGGCTGAGGCAGGACGATCGCTTGAACCTGGGAGGTGAAGGTTGCAGTGAGCCAAGATTGTGCCAGCCTGGGCAATAAGAACGAACCTCAATCTCAAAACAAAACAAAAAAAGGGTCAAGTGCAGTGACTCACGCCTGTAATCCCAGCACTTTGGGAGGCTAAGGTGGGTGGATCAGGAGGTCAGGAGTTTGAGACCAGCCTGACCAACATGGTAAAACCCCATCTCTACTAAAGATACAAAAAAATTAGCCGGGAGTGGTGGTACACGCCTGTAATTCCAGCTACTTAGGAGGCTGAGGCAAAAGAATCACTTGAATCCAGGAGGCAGAGGTTGCAGTGAGCCGAGATCCTGCCATTGCACCCCAGCCTGGGCAACAGGGTGAGACTCCATCTCAAAAACAAAACAAAACAAAACAAACAAACAAACAAAAAATACCAAACAGACAATAAGCAGAAACAATCTGATAGAATTAATTCAGATTTGGCATAGGTGAGGGTCTGCCTTTTCTTCCAAAGTCAGAGTAAGTCTACTGTAAAGAGGCCCTTTTGCAGGCAAATTAGTTCCAGGGATACCTATCTATAGAAGCTACGGGTCTACAGGGGTCTGTGAAGGCCTACAGGGGTCTATAAATGTACACCCTTAAATAAGTGATAATGCATGTCCTAATATGAAGATGACTTAGACAAAGACTTCATATCTTTTCTTCAGCCTGTCACGTCCCCTTTCCTTCCTCTCAACTGAATACCATCATTCCTATTTCACTAAGAAAATAAAAGCAATCAAAAGAAAATCTCCTCAAGGTCTACCATGTCTAACCAGCCACCTGCCAACAGGCTGTGCCTTCTCTCTTTCCTGCTACTCTGGATAACCGTCCATGTTCCCACCAAAGTCAGTGCCTTCCCAACCCTGTCCCACTGTGGCTAATCTCATCCTCCAAGTTAACCGCCTTGGCAGTTTTCCCACTTATGCATCATCAGTTTTCACTCTCTGTAGACTTTTGAAATCAGCATATAAATGTGCTAGTATTTTTCCCATCCTAAAAAAAAATCTCTTCAGGATGTAACAACTAAAAGCAATGGGTGACCTTTGATTAGACTGTGGAAATGAAAATAGCAACAATACACAGTTTTAATTTGAACTGCATGTTACATATTATATCAATATTAAATTTCTTAGAATATAATAACGATATTATGGTTATGTGAGAGACTGTCTTTTTTAGGAGATACAAGCTTTAACATAAACTTTATGTCTACAATTTTAGAGCAGCTCAGACAACATAAAGGTATTTATAAACTTAGAGAAAGCAAATGCGCCAAGACATTAACAATGAGTTGGCGGGGCAGGGTGGCTCACGCCTGTAATCTCAGCACTTTGGCAGGAGGATGCTTGAGCTCAGGAGTTTGAGACCAGCCTGGGCAACATAGTGAAACTATGTCTCTACCCACCCCCCGCCACAAAAAAAATAGCCAGGTTTGGTGGTGTGTGCCTGTAGTCCCAGCTACTTGGGAAGCCGAGGTGGGAGGGTTGCTTAAGCCTGGAAGGTCAAGGCTGCAGTAAGCAGTAATCACACCACTGTACCCCAGCCTGGGTGACAGAGTGAGACCTTGTCCAAAACAAACAAACAACAAAAACAACAACAAAACAAACAAACAAACAAAAACCACAATGGGTTAAAATAGGTGAAACACATACAGTATCTAACTTTTCTATGATTTGGAATTTGTCAAAAATAAAAAGCTGCAGGGGAAAGATGACCATCACAAAAATACATTTAGAAAGGAATAAACCAGTGATTCTCAAACAAACAAAGCAACACCCCTCTCTAGACCCTAGACCACATTGTCCTATCCAGTTAACACTTTGGTTCTGTCTCAAGCTCCTCAAAAGAGCTATTTTTTTTTTTTAAACTGTAACTCTGAGGCATTTTATTATAAAAAGCTAGTACTCATATACATAAAGTAATATGTACTTAAAATTCACGATACATTTACTTCATTTTTTAGCTTGACCTTCTAGCAGATCTTTAGCTTCATTGATTTTGGCTGCTATATACGGAGACCCTCCTTTGTCAGGATGATTTAAAAGCATAATTCGTCGGTGAGCATCTCTTATTTTCCCTTTATTGGCAGTAGGGCTTACACCTAGTATTAATGCTGCTTCCTGTTTTGTCATTTTGGGTTCAAACCCACCTCTGTAATAGCCACCACTGAAGGCAGATTTTGGTAGACTTTGAAAAACTTGTTTTACTTGCGGCTCCATATGCTTCATGGCTTGCAAAACATAACGGCCTGCAAATCCTGCAGCTGCAATGGTCAGTCCAACTGCTACCATTGTACTGGCCATGGCTGCTGCGGCTAGCTTCCCTCGCTTCCACCGGGAGCCCGGCTCATCCCAGCGCACAGACCGCAGCGGACGCCCCAAAAGAGATATTTTCTCATCTCTTTGTCTCCCAGGCAGGCTTTCTTGAACCCACTCCCATGGGCTTACGGAATAAAACTGCTCTTATTAAATGCATCAGCAATCTCCATGTTGCACAACCCAAAGGTCAGACTTTAGTCCTTACCTCCCTCGACCTGCCACAAGTGTCTGACAAAGCCCTCCTCCTTCCTTCACCTGGCTTTTGGGATGCGTCCAGGTCCCTATTTTGTTCCTGTTGCTGACTCCCACCTCTGTGCACAGGCTCAGCCCTGGAACCTCTCCTCTAGCTACACTCCCTCCCTTTATTCTTTCACCTACTCTAGTAGCTTTTTTTTTTTTTTTTTTTAAATATGGGGTCTATGTTGTCCAGGCTGGTCTTGAACTCCTGGACTCAAGCAATCCTCCTGCCTCAGCCTCCCAAAGTGCTACGATTACAGGCATGAGCCACTGCACCCCGCCCACTAGTAGCTTTACAGACCGTCTGCCTACTGTAAACTTCTGAATTTTCCAAATTTACATCCTCTCCTGGCCCCATCCTCAAAATTCCATATATATATCCCACTGCCTTCTTAACATATCTTCTTGTGGATATTCAAAAGGCCTATCAGGCTGAAGATACAGAGTCCAGAATTCGGCTCCTCCTAATCTTTTCCCAGAAACCTGCTTCTCTTGCAGTCTTTCCTATTTCAGTAAATGGCATTCCATTGTTCCAATGGCTTAGGCCAAAACTTGGAAGTCATCTTGGACTCTAAAACTTCACATCTCATCCACCCATCTTTTAAAGATATCAGTTACATCTTTAAAAGATATCCAGAATCCAGCCACCATCTTCCTATCATCTTTGTGCAAAATCTCGCCTGGAATTTTGTAATAGCTTCTTACCTGTTCTCCCTGTTTGTATCCTTGATCATCTCTGGTATATTATTTATTTATTTGTTTGTTTGTTTGTTTATTTAGAGACGGTCTCACTCTGTCACCCAGACTGCCAGACTGAAGTGCAGTGACAAGAATATGTCTCACTGCAGCCTCCACCTCCTAGGCTTAAGCAATCTTCCTGCCTCAGCCTCCTGAGCAGCTTGGGACCACAGACATGCACCACCATGCCCAGCTGATTTTCTTTTCCTTGCGAAAGGGTCTTGCTCCATTGCCCACGCTAGAGGGCAGTGGCACAATCACAGCTCACTACAACCTCAACTTCCTCGGCTCAGGTGATCCTCCCACTTAGCCTCCTGAATAGCTGGGACTAGAGACATATGCCACCATGTAGAGACAGGGTTTCACTATGTCGCTGAGGCTAGTCTCAAACTCCTGGGCTCAAGCTGTCTGCCTGCCTCAGCTTCTCAAAGTGCTGGAATTACAGACACATGCCACCATAGCTGGCTCTGATGTATTCCCAACACAACAGCTAGAGTGGTCCTTTTTTTTTTTTTTTTGGTTAGGTCACTTAAATGTCTGTTTTATGTGACAATTTTCCTTCCTGCTTTTTTCCTCTTTCATGCCATCAATCTACTAGAGCAATCAAGTCATCTAACCCATCAAATCTCCCACATTTTGGATTTGGCTGACTGTAACCTCAAGGTGTCTCTAACTTGTTCCTCTGACCCCTTTATTTCCTGTAAACTGAGAGATTCACTTTAGGCTTGCCTGGAGTCGGGTTCATATTTTTAGGCAAAAACAGTTCATGAATGTGGCTGGGTACTTCCCCTTCCACAGTATCATGAGGCATATCGCATCTGGCTGCCATAGGTGTAGCAATGCCAAGACTGTTTGGTGGATTCAGATCGCAGGTAGCCAGATTCCTCTTATATTTTCCCACCATCCTCTCACCTAGTGGTGGCTGCCGTGATCTATGTCCTCATTAGGGGTGGCAAAACAGCAATTTTCTAATTCTAGTATTCCTTCTGCATTTATCAATTGGAATTCTTTTATAAAGAAGCCTTCTCTCTTGTTAACCCTCTGCTTTCTTGGAGTTAACAGTTTATACGGGAAAGGCGAGGAAAATGCTTATTTTTTTGCCTTCATTAATTTTTAAAGAATTGAGTTACTCCCCTAACAACCCAAAATCATGACCAATGAGTTCCACTTTCTTTTAAAATTATTTCAAATACATGAATTTTTATGTACTCGATGTT